ATTTATTGATTCTACTTCCTGGAGGACTAAAACTTTCCGTTTAATTGTTAATAAACGTTTTTTAATACACCTTTAAAACGTTTAAAATTACTTGTAGTATCTAAATTTAATATTTGAAATTCAATTTGGATTTAACAGCCCTCAATATCAGCTGTTTAGCTGTTCACCCCGTATATTAAGCCAATAAAGCCCTGAAAAAACGCCCGGCACTTGGGGTCAAACGCACTTTTGGGGTCCACCCCAAATGCGTTTACGTACTTTGGGGTCCCAAATTTTGAAACCCCAAAGTGCCCGTTATAACGGGTTTGCATATTCGCATTTTTTAAATCAAGACAAGCACCACACTTTGGTCAAAAAAATTTAAAATCAAATAAAATGAATTCCCAATGGGATTTTCAAATAGTAATAATTGTAGTCAAAGCCAATGGTAAACAAAAATCCAAGGGTATTGAATAGAAGGTAAAACATTGTTCCTGAATTATAGAAAACAATAGGGATTTTAAAATTGATGAAGAACTTTCATCAAATAAAAGAATTTGTATCAATTAAAAGCTCAAAATATTTTTTTCCCATATTTTTCCATTTATTTAAAAGAATGACACTTTCATGTACTCCTTTTTTCAACTAATTTCAAAAACATTTTCCCGTTTATTTTTATTTATAAGCAATTTTATAAAATATAATAGTCTCACATAACAAAGGTATAAATTCTGGGAAATCTTAATAAGACATTTCAGTAAAAAATTGTCCTGATTTAAATATTTATTTGAATATGGCCATTTTAACAAGCTTATCTAATAGAGATTTAAGGGAACTTGAACTAGGTAATATATCCTGCCTTAAGGGGCAGTAACACAAAAAATATTCATTAACTATTTTTTAAAGTAGTCACAATTCATAAATCAAAGGGGCTGCAAGCCTGTGGTATTTTCTGATCTTTTGGCAACTAAACGACGTATATATTTATGTATTTTCCCTGTATAATTTCATTTTTATATACCTATAATTTCATCTTGCAGGCACCGATATGCACGTCTGCGTTTAGAATTTTTTAACTGAACAGTTTTGAGTTTGATACATACGGGAAATTTTGCAATGACCAAGGTTCACAAAAAATCATTTCTGGTGATTTTTTTATGACAGCCACACTTTATCCCTTGCATATCGTGGCTTAAAAAAAATCACCTTTGGCACATTTGAACGACAACGTTACCCCTGCACCACCGGGGAAAGTTATACGAAAAAAAAACCCAAAATAAACTCAAAATAATTCTTAAGAAATTTTAGTTTTGTAATCCTTAAATTAACATTTAGGGGTATTTTGTTCGATAAACCTTTGTTTTAACACTAATTTAGTCAAAAAATCTTCTCGCCAAAACGTCTGACATGTATTTTCCACTACTCGCGGCAGCCCAAATTTATCTACAGTATCGTAAAATCGGACATCCGGGGGCTTAAAAAATAACATTTCAATTTGATTGAAAAATATTCATCCGCGTAAATTTGTGCTTGTTCATTTATTGACAATTCTTAGAGCCAACACTAATTTTGAAACTTTAAAATGCGTTTGTAACTTGTTGTACTTTTAAACAAAATAAAAAATTTTTTCTTTTACATTAGCTAAGTTTTAAGCGTTTTGGGGAACTACTTGTTGTTAGGTTTTCATAAAGCTCTGTGCCAAAGGAAAAAAAGGAAATTAAAAAAAAAAAATTTGTCCAGCATTGTATTTCCTGATCTGCGAATCAAAAAAATACAATTTTAAGTAAAGTTCCTCGACTTTAGAGGGGGGGGGTTGGGGTCCAGACGGGAAAGGGGTTTCCCAAAAGGGAAACATGGGGGCCCGGTTCCCCGAATTTCAAAAATAACGTTTTTAAAGGGCCCAATTTTGCTTTTTTTGTATTTCCTTTAAATTTTTTAAATTTTTGGGTACTTTAAAAAAGTAACAAAAAAATTTCTCATTTGGGCCAAAATTTTTCTAACATCTTTTTCAATCTTTTTGCTTTTTGGAATAAGAATTATAGTGAAAATTAGTAATTTTTTGTGGGAAATCAAAAACAATTTTTTACATTTTTTAAAATTTTATGAAAAAAATTTTTTTACATTTTTTCGCTACTTTTTTCAGGGAACAATTTTTAAATTTCTCCCGATACTTTTTTTTTAAAAATTGCCCTTTTTAAAGAAAATATTTAAAATTTTCCCCTTAAAAAAACCTTTTTGGGGAACGGTTTTTACGGACCTTAACAAAAAAACTTAATTTTGTTGATAAACTTAAAAATGTATTTGTAAAAACCAACTATAATTATAGTCTGATCGTGAAACTGGATATTTCAAACCAGAAACATTGCCAATAGAATATTTTATAGTTTTTTTTTTTAGGAAAAAAAATATTAAACTGCATTTTATTTCATTCCCCATCCTATTAAAAAATGGGCCTTATTATGGCAAAAAATTATCAAGTAAAATGACTGAACAGAAACCATGAAATTATTTCGCCAGCAATCTTTTTAATTTTTAGGATACACTAACAAAATATGTACTTAGAGAAACTTTTGGTTATTATGGACACAATTTTAATATTCAAGAGGGTTTAAATAAATGAAACTTTTATCACGTAAGCATCAAACCTCCATCTTGAATCTCCACCTCAAATATTTCAATGTCGCAGATCGGAAAAATAAGTCAGAACTTCATTTTATTAACAGAACTCAGTTTGACACTTCAGAACTTTTGAAACCCAAAGTGCATTGATATGTAGCATAATTACCAACTTTTTGGGCAATTTTCTCGCATTTTTGACCCCAAAGTGCGTTGGACCCCAACGTGCGGTTGCGAAGTGTAACGCCCTTTGGGGTTGGACCCCAAAGGCCGCGTTTGACAACCAAAGTCGGTTTACAAAGCCCAAATAGGTTAATATTTTTCTCTAAATATGCTAAATTATTTTACCCTAAAACCCCTGTGCATAATTCTTTTACCAGAACCCAATGACTTAAACAGCAGCTGACTTATATCAACTAGAAGACAGAAAAGCTGTCCCTAGCCTCAAATGCATATTAAATTGAATTAAAAATTGATTTTTTTTTAAATGTATGGGTAAATTCCATTCTCAGTGGTTGGAATTTGATTTTTTCCCTTTTCTGATTTATCAACGCCCATATTTCCCTTTCAAAACGCCTAGAAAGCCAACCAGGATTGTTTTGAAAATCGAAAAAAAAAATTGTAAAAAAAAAAAATCAACTGCCAATGCCTACGAATCATTGTTTAACCTGAAAAAATCTGAAAGGGATTTTGGAACCCCACAGCTCTTTGATTACACAAGGCAGACACAAGCCGCTTCAAATTTGGCGAAAAAAAGAGGTCAACACAACAGCAAGGATGTTGGAAAAGATCTTACCTGTAATCAAAGTGGTTGAAAGTAATATAATCAGTGTTAATTAGACATTAAACAATTTTGATAATACTGATATTCATATTTTAACATTTAAACTTCAACAAATATAAACAATGTAAATATTCACAATAAAATGATAAGAACCAATTTTAAGGTGGTAATATTGTTGAGTAAATCTGAAAAAATATATTAATACGGGGAATTCAAGTCCCCGGCCCGCGAAGGCGGGCCCCGGGCTTTGGCTTGCCCGGCTTATAACTAACACGTGTATATTATAAAAAGAAAATCAAAATTAAAAAAAAAAACCAAGTAAAAATATAAATTTGGTATACCCACCTATCCAAATGAAATTTTCAAGTGTCAGTTTTCTAATAGTTTAGGAGCCGCCGTTTACAATGTAACTCCCAAAATGATAAAACAGGCCGTTATTCAGATAACGGGAACAAATCTCAACTTTTCGGAAATAAAATCTCGAGTTTCCGATGAAAACCGGGAAGCGGGTACATAAAAATATAATGACACCTTTAAAACGGGGTGGAAAAATGAAAAAGGATTTTTAAACGAGCGGAACTTTACTATACCCTGTTATTTAAGGCGAGACCTTCCCTAATTTCATATTAATTTCATATTTTCATAAAAAAATTTTAATGTCTTTACATGAAGAATCAAACTGGCGTTGAACGATTTTGGGTTTGCGTAAAAATTATACCATAAATCAACGTGACCTTTTTTACCCTTTAAACCCGCGATTTAGTTTCAAAAAAAAGGTAAAAATTTTTTAGTTTTTTAAATCGAAGGAGTAGTGTTTCCCGGGCGGAGTATTTGGGGAATTTTTGGTAAAAATTTAAACCCAAACCCCGAAATCGTCAAAAGCAGCAATGGGAATCTATTACAAAAACCAAATTATATATTTCTAAATTGTTTTTTTAAAAGTTGGATATTATTTAATTTAAAATTGGGTTTTTTGATAGAATTTTTTAAGTTTTCCCTGTTCTTAATTTCACAATTTTTATTTTTTTAAAATTTTAAAGTCAAAATTCAAGAATTTTAAAAGCTCCCCCCCACCCCCCTTTTTTGGGGGGGGGGGGGAAAAGGGGGGGGCATTTTTAAAAGGGAAAGCAAAACCCAAACACTTATATCTTTTTGAAATTAGGTTACACTTATTAATGCCTTCAGTGACAGATGAAATTTTCAATTTAAATGGTTCCCATAAAAAATTAAAATATATTCTATAATTTTAAAAAAAGCAAAAAAAGCAACAATAAAATTCATAGATCAAATCCTCTTTGATAAATTTCGTTTAGCAAAAAAGAGCCCTGAACTTACACATAATGTATTCCCCCTTTTATTATTTCCACTTCAATATTCTTTTTAACAAAGTAATAAGTAAAAGCATGTGTCCCCCACATGGAAATATGATCTGTATATATAATGGTCCCACTAAAGGCCAAATACAAAGCAAATGTATTACAACCAAATAAAAGAATTTTATCATGAATATATCTATATCCATGAACAGTGATGAAGAAAAAACAAAACAAAAAACTTACTCTCTACAATAGGGCCTACAACACTGCTTAAAATCAACAATAGTAATTAAAAAAAAACTTACATTGCAGGTTCAAAAGGTCACGCACCCAATAGGTCATTGGCATGTTCAATCCACAAACAGAATAAATATCACTTCTGTTCAATATAAATAAGTCAGATATCAAAACTGACAAACACTTAAACACCAACCTGAATGACACACTCTTTCTGCTTATTTCCATCTAAATTAAATTCCAAACATTGAAACTCTAGAATTTTTTTGGCATTTATATTGTTTAACGAGGATGTTTAACATCCAACATAAATCAATAAAAAAATATTTTTTTTTCTTAACGACAATGGCACACCACTTCACGTGCCGTCCAGACAAAATAAAAACACCTGTCCCGCAACCCCGTAATGACCCGATTTAATCATGCGACAAATCTATTTATACCATTCTCAGTTACGTAATTAACTAGGTTTTCTGTTGTACTGAATTAAAAATGTGGTGAAAAAGGGTAAAAAGCAAAAAAAAACAACATTATTTTTTCTATACTGCAAGTATGGTGTTCTGAAATTTTTTCGATAATAATTATGGTATTGATTCTTATGTATGAAACTGTACTAGAACTTTGTGTGCTCTCTGCTAATGTGTGACTAATGTATGTAAAATATTAATTGACATGTATCAAGGGGGCAGGACGTGAAGTGTTGCACAACTTGGTTCAAGCGCAGCAAATTGGGGTTGGCAAACTTTGACAAAATGGCAAAACACGGCGTGATTTTTTTGAAACGGGGCATGAACGAATTTTGCCAGCAAGTAGGTTTCTTTGTTATTTGAAGTTCGTTAGTATGTCTATTCCATAATGTAGATATATAGCCACACTCGGTTAAAGGTTTCAGCATCCTAGATTCTGTTTGACGAATTATTGAAAGATATAAACTGATCATGTAGATATTTGAAAAATTTGGACATCCCCAGTGACTGTTCTTAGTCCACAGGTGCTAAATACATCCGGCATTGATTTGACCTAATTAAAATTTTGTTTGACCTTGTTTATTTATACAATAAAATATCAAATATATTAAAAAAAAAAAAATTAAAAAAAATTTTTTTTTTGCAGTTATATTATTATTGACAAGTATGCAACATTCAGTACGAAAAAATTATGGGTACGCCGGTTATCTGTGTAAAATTTTCACCGGGCGGTAAATATCGTCGGATTTTGCAATGGAATCAATGCAACAATATATTTTTCTATTGCAATTACTATTACAGAATCCCCAATTAACCCGCTAGTAATGTTTTTAAAGCCCGAAAGTAAGAAAAATCACCCAGTCCGAAAGATGAGACCGTCATGACATGGTATGCATTTGTAAGCTGGTATTTACGCTTGAAATACATCAACAAACGAGATCAAACGGGTCGAACTCACATGCAAAACAAATGGATTTTACATACTTTTAAATGGTTTTATCCTCCACGAATCGAAACTTAGTCCTATGAGCCTGTATTTAAAGGGGAATATCCTACATGCTAGACGCTATTTTTAGAAGGTAATTCCCACCGCGGAAGTATCTCCGGCTTAAAATTACGGCACATAGGACTTAGCTGCCACTCGTGGGGATAAAACCAATTAAAAAGATGTAAAAATCCAGTTGTTTGCATGTGAGTTCGACCCGTTTGATCTCTTTGTTGATGTATTTCAAGCGAAAAAATACCAGCTTACAATATACATTCATGACGTTTCATCTTTCGGACCTGGGTGATTTCTTACTTTCGGGCTTTAAAACATAACTAGCGGTTAAGGGGATCTGCAAATAGTAAATTGTAATAGAAAAATATATTGTGCATTGATTCCATGCAAAAATCCGACGATATTACCGCCCGGTGAAAAAATTTTAACACCAATAACCCCGGCGTACCCAATAATTTTTTTTTTTCGTACCTGAATGTTGCATACCTTGTCAATAATAATATAACAGTGAAAAAAAAAAATTTTAAATTTTTTTTTTTTTTTTAAATATATTGATAATTTTTTTGTATAAATAACAAAGTCAAACACATTTTTAGGTTTTTTTTTTTTTTTTTTTAAACAAGGTCAAACACATTTTAATTAGGTCAAATCAAATGCCACTAGCAACCTGTGTTCTTGGTCGGTTTTTCTCCTAATTTAATTCGAATTTGTAAGTTTGAACTGCCATTTAACAATAAAACAACAATATGTTTCTGTCAATGCTGTACAAATGGTTTAGTTCGCAAGTCCGAAGATAACGTTCAATACACAAAAATATATTTTTCAAGCACATTTTGGTTGCAGACTTCTACTTCAAGCATTTTTGGTTGCAAACTTTTGTGTCAATAATGTGGCATGAATATTTTAGCGAGGAATAACTTATCTTTTCTTTTTAAATAATTAGCAATATTAAGGCAATTATACCCGTTTATCTAATAAGAAATATATATACAAATTGTGCATGCGTGCAGATATATCCTAACACAGGGTCTTTCAAATAGATATAAAACACAATATGCTAAATTGAAGTTCAGTTGTGTATATCTTCATCATTTTTTCTCCTCGATATACTTCTTTTCTTTTTACAAAGTCTTAGGACTTTTTTTTATCTTGGCATGACTAACAGTAAAGGAAAAGAAGAGAAAAATAGCAACAAACAGCTTTCATTATTGTTCTTTTTTGAGATTTGAAATAAATTTGATTACATAGTAGATACAAACTATATTAACATTGACACAAGGGCATTATTCACATGTTTCTTCAAATTGTTCCTTATTATTGACCAATCGAAACATCTTCCAAATTCCCTAACTCGAACAATGACTTTAAGTAGTTTTGTCACATATCAGTCAATGTAAATTACCAATCGTATATCAGTTATATTATGATCTAATAGTCAAAATAATTTTTAGAATACCAATTGACATATAAATTATGATATGTACATCAAATCCGAAATATTGTAAACAAGCATGTCATTTTAACTTTTGGTTTATAAGTACATTTACATACTTTATGTCTAAAGCAACTGCTGATCTTACATACGAAACAAACAAAATAACATTTATTGTGGTTTTGATAAACTTTGGAAAATTTGCCGAGTAACATCGTATGTGTGCACATGTCCTTATGTTTATGATGAAAATAATTCACTTACATACAGCAGTACTCTCACATACGTTTTTTTTGTATGTAGTTTTCATTTGCATTTTACATATGATGACATATTTTAGAATTGAAGTATCAATAAATATTTTTCTTCTATGTGCTATTATTTTGTTTGCAGGCTTTAACTGATGATTATAGTATTGAACTGAGAACCATGTAATTTGAAACATAAAGTGCATACTTGTTGTAAAAGAAGAAAGTATAAATAACATTTATAACAAAAACAAGTAAAAGAACATAACTGTCAATAATTGCCATTGAAAATAAGTTAATAAATATAAACTACTAAAATCCTTTTGCAAAGTTTTACTATGGATTTCAATAGAATAAGAATAAGTTTGCAACCAAAAATGCTTGAAGTATAAGTCTGCAATCAAAATGTGCTTGAACAAGATATTTTTGTGTAATAAACGTTATCTTCGGACTTGCGAATTAAACCATTTGTACTGCATTGACAGAAACATATTTTGTTATTGTTAAATGCAGTTCAAAACTTACAAATTCGAATAAATTAGGAGAAAAACCGACCAGAACAGTCACATGTCAAATTTCAAAATATCTACATGATCAGTTTATATCTTCAATAACTTCGTCAAAACAGAATCTAGGATGCTGAAACCTTAAACCGGGTGTGGTATATATATTGCATTATGGAATAGACATACTAATGAACTTCAAAATAACAATGAAACCCACTTGCCTGGCAAAAATTCGTTCACCCGTTTCAAAAAATCATGCCGTGTTTGCCATTTTGTCAAGTTTGCAACCAATTCGCTCGCTTGAACCAAGTGTGCAACCACTTCACGTCCTGCCCCTTGTGTATTATCTCTTGTATTTGTATGTATGCAAACAGATAACATGTAAATAAAACTTGAATGTCAATACACAAAAATGAAATCTTAAGTTCTTAATTCTCTTAAAGAACATTGTATATTTACATATAATTTAAAATCGGATGCAAATGTGGCTTTGATTTTATACATATCCAAATTTAAGCATATCCCAGTACTATGAAACCTCTTTAAAATATGCACGTGGAACTGTATTTTAACAAATCCTACAATATGTCATTAAATACTGAATGAAGTAAAAAAAAAATATAATAAAACTAACTTGGATTTATATTTTTGTAACCTTTTACAGCATCATCTTTATTTAAACAAAAATCGTCTGCAGTATTATTATTTTCTTTGTTTGATTGGGTTTTACGTCACACCGGCACAGTATTATTTTAAATTGCAAAGTGTCATCAAGGGAATTTACTTGGATCATTTGATTACTATAATTATTGTTATAACCACGGTCAATTAAGAATGCCATTTGAAAAGTATTGTGATTATGATGTATATATATTTTGTAAAGTTGCAAAAATATATTGAAAGGGAAGATTTGGCCTATTATATAACATGTTACCATGGCAACCATGAAAACTGATGGAAAATTCAATGTATTTTCAAACATCACATGTTTGTATTTATTTCTGAGAAAACAAGTAAGTCTACAACGTGGAAAAATGACAATAAATTGGGAAATCAATCATAAGAAATAGACGCAAATTTAGAGATGTAAATTTTAGCTGCATTTAATTATACCCCACACGTTTAAAATCATACTGCGTCCATAGGAGAAGTGTTAATAAACATTAAAATTGTCATAAATGATAAGAGTTGAGGTTGTATTTTTGCACAAAAGTACAATATGGAAATCAACATTGAAATATGTTGTCATGGAAATGAAAATTAATATCAAATTTAACTTTTAGGTCATTTTATATACATTTTTCGTGATATTCTTTCAAAAATTTTATATTTCTCCCATAAAAGTGGACAAAAACCAATTTGGTTACAGTAAACATGTATTTGCTATCATATTTATATGTGAAGAAAAAAAAGACTTAGAAATTCTTGAAAACATTGGCCAAATAATGATAATTAATGTT